GACATAAGAACAGAAAATCAAACACCACATGTTCTCACTCATAAGTGCATGAACAATGAAAACACATGGACACAGGGAGGGGAACATCACATGCCAGGGCCTGTTGGGGGGTGGGGGGCTGGGGAAGGGCTAACAGGGGAGTTGGGGGCTAGGGGAGGGATAACATTAGGAGAAATACCTAACGTAGATGACAGGTTGATGGATGCATCAAACCACCATGGCAGGTGTATACCTATGTAACAAACCTGCATGTTCCGCATATGTACCTCAGAACTTAAGGTATAATAATTAAAAAAAGGAAAAAAGTGTGCACAGTGGCTCACTTCTGTAAGTGGCTCCACCTTTAAGCCAGCGATATAATTAAGAAACAAGCTACATTGAAAAGAAGATACTTTTCCCGGCAATCTTGTTTTCAAATAATGCTGTTTAGGTCTAAGTTCTGTGCCTTTGAGATGTCAATCTTCTTTACCTGGTTTCATCTTAGTCATGCCTTTGGCTAGGTTGTGCAAAGGTGGGAGAGAAGCTATTCGATAACTGGCAAATGAAGAATCTTAGAGGTCTATAAGATCTGTTTCTGTTTGTATGTCTATATATATTTAGTGTGTTGTGTATGTGATGGATAATTACCAAAACATATGACAGATCTCTCATTTGGTTTAAACAAAAAGTAAGTTCTGGCTGGGCACAGTGGCTCACTCCTGTAATCCCAGCACTTTGGGAGGCCAAGGCAGGTGGACTGCCTGAGGTCAGGAGTTTGAGACCAGCCTGAACAATATGGTGAAACCCCATCTCTATTAAAGATACAAAAATTAGATGGGTGTGGTGGTGTGCACCTGTAGTCCCAGCTACTAGGGAGGCTGAGACAGGAGAATTGCTTGAACCCCGGAAGCAGAGGCGGCAGTGAGCCGAGATTACGCCACTGTACTCCAGCCTGGGTAACAGAGTGAGACTCTTGTCTCAAAAGAAAAAAGAAAAAGAAAATCTTCTTATCAGAAATATAGAAACCAACTCAAATGCTTCTTAGTTCACCTGACTTCAGTAATCTTTCAAATAAAACTTGTCTCAAAGTTATTTTCAGTAATTTGAAATCTTAAAGTCAGTTACGTTAAATTAAGTAATCTTAGGTTTTTCAATGGAAATTAGGGTTACTAAGAGTTAAAGTAGTAGTTAATATATGTAATTAAAACAACTAGATATGAGAGAGACAATTATATATCAGGTGAATAAAGAAAGATGTGTTTTGGTAAAGAAGTTTATTAAAAACATGAAGATGAGGGTTTTGCATACAGGGAAAGTAACCACATAGTTTAAAGGCTAAAGATTGTTTTAAAATGCATGAAAAATGATACAGATAAAACTAGCTGGATAGAAAGGGAAATGACAGAAGACAGAGAATGAGGAACTTTTGATTGATTCCTGGTGGCCACGTGGTTGCCTATGGTATGGAGCTGTGCTGTGCTCAGTTACTAAAGGTAAGAGTGACCAGTGGAATTTAAAGACACATCCAACTCCTAAGGAGTTGGTTCATTGGATACACAAGGATATGCAAACCAATAAGCAAAAAGTGAAATATATAATCCCTTGGTTATCATCTATAAAAGCTAAAATAAGAGTGCCAGATTGGGCCTTGACGCTGGGCCAAGCTCACATGTGTATCCGTCTGAGCTCAGGTCACTAGCCCCAAAGCTACCTACCAAGGGGAAAATTACCACGGGGCAACAGGAAGTACCTCTGAGACCTGTGGTTGCCAAGAAGGTAGTCAATGTGGGAAACGGGCAAGACCAAGCAACT